ATGTTGCGATTGAAATCATATTCACTAATTTATCGTAAAAAGATTGGAATATTGGACGTGGTAATTCCATGAAAGCACAAAACTTAATAATTCCATTTAGTCCAACTCCTACTAATCGCATAGCTAGAACGATTCGACGATTTATTTCGTATGCGTTTTGTATATATTTACAACTAGGAATTACAACTTCCGGGCAATTAGGACAAGCGATAACTATTTTGAAGCCTAAGCCACGAGGATTTCTTTCACGAAAAGTAATATCGGAATTACACTTTTTACATTTCACATGTTGTGAAATCACAGCAAAAACTGCCAAAAAATTTATAATTCTGTACCCGAATTCATAATTTACGTCCAAATCTTCACTCGTTCTCAACTTCTTGGCAGACGCACTCACGCCTTCCGCGTCGCCTTCAACCTCGAATCTGTTCTTCGGTCGTCTTTTCGACACGTTGCTTCGAAGCCGCGTTGTATGCAATTCTTTTGTACCTTTTTGGCGCGAATAAACTTTATCACTCATTTTGCTATCTAAACACTCCGAAATTACACAAAAAACTGCTCAACTCGAAGCGCACACGTACAAAAATAAACGACGGTTATTGATTTCAAGCGGGAAAATCGTGTGTTTCGTACACGAAATGATGCAATACTGACGCGTAAACACGTGTTTCTATATGAAAATGCTTCTAAAATTACTCCTAGAGACATCTATTAGTGTATCACATAACTTAGAAATCAATAAGCAAGGTATTACGCACTACTCTCTCGACAGGTATCCACCCGGCGCAGGTAGCCGTTTCGGAATTGCCCGACTCATTCGGTACACAGCTCGGAATTTCGATGAAAAAAATTAGTTTCACATATAAAAGTTTTTTCCTCGTATTCTACAGGGTTCAAAGGATTTTTGAAGCCCAAAAAAAAATTGATTTTTTGAAAATTTTACAGTGGTGTTACCCCTTAAAAAATTTTTCAGGGTCAAGTGTCTCCATTTCTCGTACCAAATTGTCACTTGCTCCTTGCATTAACCTCCTTTTCTCCGTGAATATTGGACATACCCAAAATTGTTTGTAATGTCGTTTTTCAGTTTCTTGAATGATGTACAATGAATATAATTTTAATATTTTCTTGCGGATTGCCTCCTTCTTAAATACGCATCATATTTTTTTGCGTAAAATTAGTAATTTACAGATAAAACAGTAAAATATTCCTTGCACTCATAAGTGATGCGCTCAAACCATCGACATCTAGAATGGACCGCTGATGGCAATGGTGGGGGTAGAAAGACGATTAGAGTGAGAGGCAGGAATAATAAGATCGTTCTTTCTCTGTTTACTGAAGCCTGATTGGTTGTTGTTAATCCAACAACCAATCAGGCTAGTTAGAACAACAGTAATCAGAGAAAGAACGATCTTATTATTCCTGCCTCTCACTCTAATCGTCTTTCTACCCCCACCATTGCCATCAGCGGTCCATTCTAGATGTCGATGGCTCAAACACATTAACTCACAGAACGCATAAAAAGTGATAAAAAAAATTGATATGGGGAAGAAATTCTGTAACCTCTACCACTGGCCTTTTCTTCTTGAGAAGATTTTAACAAATACATTACCGTTTGCATATTTCTGCAAAAATATTTCCCTTATGTCACATTGAGAGGTTCATGCGGTAGCGGAACAAAATTCAACGAATCACGAAGTACTTTTATATTTTCTGCAAAATATCTGTTTCTATTAATACTTTACGATTTGCTACCGCATGAATCGCTGCAGCATGAACCGCTCCATGTGATATAAGGTGCCTTTTCACGCTGACACTCGACGCTCATTTTCAGCGTCAAAACAGGTCACATGATCAAAATTGACGAATACCAAGCGTCAATTTTGATCACGTGACCTGTTTTGACGATGAAAATGAGCGTCTAGCGTCAGCGTGAAATCGCACCTATAGGAATCAGGAAAATGACTGTACGAAAAATGCGGAAAGGCTCCGATTGGTCGCTGAATTTCCGCCGCTACCGCTAAAACCGTTCCGCTTTTATTTTTACCGCTTCATGTGCCTTCGGCCTCACACTCTCCTTCATATTTTAAGTTTGGCGTGACTATGGTATGTCACTGGAAACACCAGATGGCGATAAAAAAATTAATACTACGAAATTAAAAAAAAATTAATATTACGAAATTAATATTACGAAATTAATATTACGACTCATGTACATTCTAGATGTTTACGTCATTTACTTCGATTAGGTTATATCGGTGGTGTCGGACGTGTCGGATATCGGATATTGTTATCCCGTTTATTCGCGATCTTCGATCTCCGAAAGTCCGCGATCCTGTTCGCGAATATAGTCGTTACCATTGTTACAAGTGTTAAACAGGAGTGATCCCGATTGATCACGGCTCGATTGGACACCACTAATCACAGCGACCGGTGCTTAGGAGCTTTGTAGTATCAAGCGCTGTGAGTGGCTCGTGTCCAACTGGGTGCCACCCCTATTGCATTATTTGTATTGGAATTCTTGATAAAATCATGAAAGAAATCTTCATCATCACTACTCGTTGAAGAATTCTTCTCATTTGTACTTCCCGTCGGTACAACTTTTCACATTCGCATAAAAATAAAGTTTTTTTGTAAAGTTGTATTTATCATCGCTATTATTCAGCCATCTCAATTTAAATTTTGGATGTGAAATCGTTGCCAAAATGGGGGTGATCCCGATTGATCACGGCTCGGTTGGACACCACCAATCTCAGCGACCAGTGCTTAGGAGCTTTGTAGTCTCAAGCGCTATGAGTGGCTCGTGTCCAATTGAGCCGTGTCCAACTGGGTGCCATCCGCCAAAATGTAGGGTTTGGATTTACTGTTGTTCAGGTCCAAAATATCCTTATATCTTGTATGTATACCATCAAGAATAGCATTTTTGAGCGGTCTGCAATAAATTAGATGACTTAGTGAATTTAAAGTTTTTTTAATTTGAAGTAAGATAGGAATTACGTAGCCTAAATAGCAAATGTCCTCACTTTGCAGGAACTCTAAAGACTTTGCGATCGGTCCCATTACAGTGACATATTCAACTAGAAACTCAATTTCAGTGCTTTTTTAATTTAGGTTTCTGGAGTTTCTCGCAAATTGCCCTGGGCAAATTTGCGTCTGAGCAAATTATCACAGATAGGGCTCGGAGGTAATTGTACAACGCTGACATTATCGACAATTAATTGGCGAGACGTTGATTGGCTATCGCGCCAACTTCCGCCGCACGGCAAGTGTTGCTGTGTTCTGTCTGCAGGAGCTATTAATGATAGCGATAGTATTTGTGGGGAGGATCCCGTTTGCCTACAGTTCTGATTGTACACACCACTCATATCAACTAGTGCCTAGTAATTTTTTACTGTTTTGCCAATGATATTATTTTATTTTTAAATTGGCCAATCAGCGATACATGTGTGCAATATGCGATGTGCAATCGGAGCTCTCCCTCTCAAGGTATTTGTGTATAAATACCTTATATCTATGTATCTAAAACTTAAAAAATACCATATCAAAAAATAACTAAATACGGATATAGGTATCTCCGCCTATAAGGATCTAGATAATGCACTTAAGTACAACTAAAGTATCCAGATACTTTTACCTAGATACGTTCCAACACTGTAAATATGTTGGTTGCGTTCGAAAATTGGTTTGGTTGGTGTTGGGAAAGGAGATAAAGCTGGCAGTATTAGAAATTACCAACACTGCGTTTCGTTTCTCCCGCTGGGACTGCTGGGAGACCAAAGTAATGACGAACATAAAAATAGAGAAGAAATTAAGCTATTCAAAGTGTTATAGGAGGAACGTAGTAGACATTTAATATAATATATAACACGTTGTTCAACATCAACTTTATGTATAACTTGTAGAGATGTTGTATACTTAATTGTAATCGTAATTAAATACAATAGAACACAAATCTATTCAATTCTAACCTCTGATTTTTCTCTCTTTTTCTTTTATGCATTCTCTGGATACACGTAAAAGAGATTTTTTATGTAAGATCTTTTCTATTATAATATGTACGTAATACAATATGTATGTAATCTTTTCTATTATCTTTTCTAGTATTCTTTTATAGTATTAATATATATCTATTATTATATTATATATGTATATCACATACATATTATAATAGAAAAGATCTTACATCGAAAATCTCTTTTACATGTATCCAGAGTATGCATTAAAGAAAAAGAGAGAAAAATCAGAGGTTAGAATTGAATAGATTTATATTCTATTGTATTTAATTACGATTACAAAAATTAAATATACAACATCTGTACGAATTATACATAAAGTTGATGTTGAACAACGTGTTATATATTATATTTAATGACTACTACGTTGCTCCTGTAACACTTCAAATAGCTTAATTTCTTTTTTATTTTTATGTTCACCATTACTTTGGTCTCTCAACAGTCCAGTGGGAGAAACGAAACGCAGCGTTGGTAATTTCCAATACTGCCAACTTTATCTCCTTTCCCAACACCAACCAAATCAATTTTCGAACGCAGCCGTTATTATCAATTGCATAATTTACAATTTTTTCATACATAAATTTAGATTTACAATGTTTTTGAAATAATAGCTCAATTTTGTATACGAGTAGGTGCAATCTTTCATTAAGATGTATAAAATTACCATTAGTTATTAGTAGACTGCGGAACTTTATGCAAAATACTTAACTGAATATTAACTATCGGACAGTTTTAGCAGTCAATCGTTGTTCGTTAAAGAGTTATTAAAAGGTAAAGTAAAAAGATTGAGATTGCCATCTGTAAATTTACAAAATTGCAAAATATGCATTTTATGCAAAACATTCAGTTAAGTATTTTGCATAAAGTTCCGCAGTCTAGTTATTAGGATGCCGTCACATGCAGCCCGTAATCTGTAATTCGTACCGGATGTCCGCAAAAGTTACTAAGGATTGCGTAACGTTACTTGTGTTTTACCTCATTGTGTCTCATGGAGCCGTATTCTATGAAATTTCCGTAAAAGTGACTAGTTATTACGGGTGCCGTCACATACAGCCCGTAATCCGTAATCCGCATCGGATATCCGCAAAAGTTACTACGGATTGCGTATATACTACATACGCAATCCGTAGTAACTTTTGCGGATATCCGATGCGGATTACGGGCTATATGTGACAGTACCCTTACCAGTAATGCTTTTCCTAATTTTATCTATTTGACTAAATTTGACGGTTTAATTAAAATTTTTGTTATAGTCAAAATATATTCTGCAGTTTTCTTATAAAATAAAATAAAAATGAACAATATAACTTGTTAAATAAAAAATGTTACCATTTACACGTCCGCATTTTGTAGCTCCATGGGATTATGTAAACACGCAACGTAATTGCACTCCGATATCAAACAATTATCGATGTCAAACACATTTATTAATAATTCATATTTATAACAGTTTGCAGATATCTAATAGCATTTAATAAAATAATATTTATTGTACAATATGTAAAAATCATCGTGAATACAACAAATAATCTGTTTTCTGCACTAGACTGTACTAGGGCTACGTTCCAAAACTTCCTTTTCGAGGAAAATTTTACTCGAAGTAAATAGTACACGTAACGTATATAGCGTATAGAGTAAAATCTTCCTCGGAGAAGAAGCTTTGGAACGTAGCCTAGAATTCTCTTTTTACGTAGTTGCGGATTACGTGAGAAATATGTAATCCGTAGAAACTTTTCCATACATCCAGTGCAGATTACGGGCTGTAAGTGACTACATTTACACGGTACCCTTAATCGAGTTTAATAACTACCGTAGTTATGAAACTGGCCAATCACAATCATTCCATTCTCCCGACGAAAAGCTATGATTGGCCAATTTCATAACTACGGATGGTATTAAACCCGATTAAGTGTGCCGTGTAGCAGAGGTCTGTGACGGTGTAGCCGAATCACACTCTCCGGTAAGTATTCCGGTCCCGTTTATTGTCCTTTATTCGGTCGCCACTCCTTTTTACCTCCAAAGGTGAAGGTTCCTGCGCCACCTCGTCTGTAGACCTTATCTTACAGGGATGGGTGAATTGCATTGATGACGAGAAGTTTGTAGAAATCACCATATAAAAATATATTTAAACAATGTATACATAATAATAATAATGTGAACGAAATTTGGATCAAGTCTACCACTAATTGAAAGCCACTGAGCGTGATGCCATGTGCTTCGCGCGAGCACCTCTCCCGATACTCCACGCAAGTGGTTGGTTAAGACTCTCAACGGCTGTAAGGCAAAAGCCACCGGCTAACAAACAAGCACACAAGTCCGCAATCAATCAAGCAAGCAATCTCTCATCTTCTCTAATCTAATCTTCGCTTCACACTCCGCACGCGCTTATATACCCGCGTTTCTCCCACTTTGGTCCCCAATCATGGCGCTTCGCTTATACGCTACGCTTCCGCGTTCTCTTTCCTCGCTTTCGCATACATGTGTATATATATATCTATATATATATATCTAAATCTATATCACGCTGAATTACATACAATTCTTTTTATTTCAGGTATCCCGTACATGTCAACGATCAACGATAAACTATCTTCCGTTCACCGTCCAGCAGGTAAGTATATGTATATTTATATTTAATCTTACACTAATGACATTATTTCTTTTCAGGTACTTTTCTTCAGTTTTGAGGTAAGTATTTATTACATTGACTAGCTTATCTTAAATGTATTTTTCGCACGCATTGTATAAATTCGATTGTAACGCATCGCGTCTTTCTTGGACACCCGGTAAGTATTAACCCTTTTTATTTACGGTATCGCTATTGGTGTATGTCACCGCCTATCTTGACGTTTCGCGTTTTCCAAATTGGTAAATTTCCCGTCCCGGCATCTGTGTTTCGTGGACACCCGGTATTTCACAAATTTATTACAAGCGTCAGTCTTTTTCATTTTTTACCCTGAATGTCTCTACGTTTCGTTTTTTTTTTAACTGCCATACATTTCGCTGTCTATGACCGATTTACTTTGACACCCGGTATAATACAATTTTGGTTTCAACGCGGTTCTTCTCTGCTTTTGGTCCCATATCACTTGGCGTTATTAGATTCTTTTGAATTCTACGTTTCTATTATACACGATCGCGTTTCTCGAACACCCGATATATAACAAATTTATTTCGAACGTCATTATCTTTTGTTCCTATCGCTTCTTGACTTGACGTTCTTAATTTGCGTCGTTTCGCTGTTTATTCTATAGATTTGCGCTTTTCGCCCTTTCATTGGCTGTCTTATTTGGACACCCGGTATACATTTGCATATGCGGAACGTTAACCCGCTCTTTCACGTCTCCCCCTTGAGCCTACGTTTCCAATTTTCTTTACCACGTTATTTACGACGTTATGATTGGCTCTTAAGTTCAATTAAAATAACGACCTCCGATTGGCCCCGCGCTTTTTGTTCAAATAATGACCTTTGACTATACCTGACGAACTTCGCTTCGCTTCGTGTATGACGCGCTGGTTTGATTCATCAATTTAATAATCTTTCACAATGGAACAATAATACTTTTTAATATACTTGACCTCTGATTGGTCTAACGCTCGATAATTACAAAATAACTAAATAAACTTGATTGCGTTTCGCCCGTCGGCCGCTTGTTTTCCAATTAAACTTAAACGATTATACCTTTCAGTATACTTGACCCCTGATTGGTCTAACGCTCGATAATTGCAAAATAACTAAATGAATTTAATTGCGTTTCGCCCATTGGCCGTTTAACATAAAATTAATTTTATCTATTCTATTTTTTACGTAATATATAATTTTATCCACTAACTAAACTTTTATAATCGAGCTTTAATAAAAATAATAATAAGAATAACATAAACCAATTTCATAATTAATTATCAGAATTGAACTTAACTAGTTCTTGGGCTTATGCCCTTTCACGCTTTCCACCGCTTTGAGCGCCATGAAGCCCGGAATTAGCTTCCGGCTTCAACGGCACCCTTAAAGTTAATAAAAGCAAAGCGTGTATCTTGTATTGATTGATCACTGTTTATAATAGAATCTCGACACACTGTGCAATCAGAATTTTTAGAATCCATAGGATCCATAGAATCACACGCACGCACACACGCACGAAAGTATTTCCCAACCGAACACCTCAATTGTTTCCTTGACCAGTTTTGCTGTGTGTGATGGTGCATTATCGGCTGCTTTCCTTTTAGGAGACACAAACCGACACAGTATAACACACTCAAACACAGTTTGCCACGCTTAAATGGAACGCGATATGTGCAGTGTGT